TGCAGCACAAATAAGCTCGTGGGGCGGACGACGGAGAACGTGCCCAAACCATGTCCCGGCCAATTAAACTTGGATTATAATCGGATTAAGTCAACCACAAGGCTGTGAAACTTCCAACCCTATTTCAAAGGATAACTTGCAGTTTTTTAAAAATCAGTGCTTATTAGACCTCGATATAGAAGCACATTTTATAAAAGCGCTACTCAGGTTAGGCACCGGCAGCGTACACACACCTACAAGATTTGCTTCTAAAATCGTTAATACTGTCCAAAGGCTGGCATGGTTTCATACCTCCTACGAGTCAAATGGCCCTCAAGGTCGTGGGGTCACTTTATGCATTTTTTTCCTCTATAGTTCTAAGAGCATGATATTTTTCCTAGCTCAAAAATGAAACCAAAATAATTTGTAGTGCAGTAAGCTTTTTCTGCTGATTCGCAGCTTCAGGAAACTCACTGCAGAATTGTGAACAGGCGATGAGTCAGCAGGGGTGGGTTTGGCTCCGACACGAAACCCTGGAGACGCGCCAGCAGAATGATTGAAAATTTGATCTTCTCGAAGAGATCAACCAGCTCCTCGTCTGATATCGAAACTTCAACTTCGGAAGAGATGGAGGTGTTGCCTGAAAAGTAACAAAGTAGGGGTCACGCCTTGTGACAAAACGGAAAATAAAAAAGTAGTCACTCACGACACGAAGTGAATAGAGGTTACTAAGACCCCGCAAAAGCGCACAGAGTCGTAGATCTGATGATAGCCACTCAAGGGCGCCTAAGAGCGATGCTTAACCGCACATATATGGCCACACTCGTCAGGCGAATTTGCAGATTCCTATCTCAAATGTTTTACCCTGCACTCCATAGTCAACTGAACCCAGGTAAAACGGTAGAGAGTCATAGGGGGCTGCCTAACGGTGATGGGAGCTCTCTAATGGATTCCTTGGCCTTGTTTTCAGTAAAAAATTGCAGGGGCTTTAATTTAGTTCCCACTACTTACGCATAATGCATTAAACACGCACTACCATCAAGCATTAAACCTTTAACCCCGATTTCCGTCAGACTTTTGCCCTCGGGCGGCCCTACGATAGATCCCCATCAGTAAAACTACTCATGTACTTGCGATTGGGAGGTAACATTTAGGTGAGCGACGAACGAAAATATACTACTGGCCTTTGTAGTTGTCGGTATTTTCTCTGACGTAGCTTCTACTTTCAGCCTAAGTAGTTCAAAAACCTTGGCTATCTGCAGCTAACCTTTATGATTACAGAAATGGCAGCACTCTGAGCGAGAGAGTTATCATGGCAACTGAAAACGAGTCATGGTCTGAGGTCCAGTTGAACCGTCGCTAAGGAGTAATATATTAGGAAAAGAGATTACTACAGGTTGCCACCATACAACCAATTGGGTTGACGAGGGTTCATATGATAAATGAAGAACAAAAAATTTACTTCGAGTAGGAAACGGCAATGGGAACCTCCTCCGCTGTACAAATGGCGTCACGCTTAAACATCGGAAGATTACTGTTCGGGTTTGGCTTAGAGGTAATGCCAAGGTACGGAAATAGGTATCCTCCATGCCTACTTTCCTATCTTACTCTTTGATCAGCTTGGATAGGGGTCAGTACTTCCGATACATGATCAACTGAGTTCGGTACAACCTTTTATATAATTCCAATCGGGAAGTGAGGTTTAGCTGAGCGAAGAGAAAAAGTAGACAACTGTCCTGTGTGTTTGTCGATATTCTTTCTGAAGTAGTGTCGACTGCCAGCATAACTAGACTAAAAGCCTTAGCTGCCTACAAGTATCTTTTTGATTTAAAAATGGCAACATTTTTAACGAGAAAGTTATAATTGCAACTGAAAAATAATCATTAACTGAGGTTCGGTGTGAAAGGAGGAGAAGATACGTCCCAATTCAACGAAAGATTCAAGTAAATGAAATGGGAAATGCAAAGTTATAAATTTCTCCGTCGGGAAGGAATAATATAGTAAGAAAAAAGATTACTACTGACTGCATAGATCCAAGGTGTTCGTAGAACGCCATCATACCAGTAATCGGATTATCAAGAGCTCATACAATAAATGAAGACCTACAAATTTACCTAGAGTTTTGAAGGGTAGGGAATGGCAATGGGCACCTATCCCCCTCGTAGTAAAATTGGCGTCGCGCTTAATTCTCGGAAGATTTCTATTCGGGTTTGGGTTGGGACTTAAAATGGAGGCACGGAAATAGGTACCCTACCTGT